ACCTGTCAATATTGCCAATGTTGATATGAAATGTTCATGTGAAATGGATATTGTCGATAACAAGTTAATTATCGTATGATCGTCCTTCTGATATTGTATGATGAAAAGATTGTTGAGTAATAAACTTTTGTCTGCATATTGCAACTCAATTGTATAAATTACTAGTATGCATCTTTTCAAAATGTTGAATTTCCTTAGGTGTAATTAAATATATTTGGTCTTTTTAACTTTTCTTTTTGGACTTGATTTCCATTTTCGAAAATATTGGATGACAAAAAAGTGACAGTAGCATTTTGGACTGTTATGCCGACTTGTGTTTTCATTAATTTCAACAGAGAACTGACTTGTAAATGGAGACAGGCAATAAGAGTGAGTGAGTGAGTGAGTTGGGTTAAATGCTGCTTTTAACAGTTTTCCAGTTATATCACAGCGTGTCAGCTTGATGTGGAAGAAAAGCCTAAAGTGATGCAGGCCTCAGATGTTTACCACTTGGTTTTGTTTGTTTGTTTGTTTGTTGTTTAACACCGCACTCAGCAATATTCCAGCTATATGACGACGGTCTGTAAATAATCGAGGCTGGACCAGACAATCCAGTGATTAATATGAGCATCGATACACGCAATTGGGATCGATGACCTGCATCAACCAAGTCAGCGAGCCTGACCACTCGATCCCGTTAGTCGCCTCTTACGACAAGTATGGGTTGCTGAAGACCTATTCTACCCCAGATCTTTATGGGTTCACGGGTCTGAAGCATTATGATGAAACCATCGACCTCTCCAGACAGATGCTCTAGCTTCTAGACCCGGGAGGCGGACTCGAGGAGAGAAACACAAGTAAACCTACTTGACACAGTAAATAACACGCTTGTTTGAACCAATCACATCATAAACAGTGTGTCGCTTGAAGTTAAACCCCAAAAGAGCATTAAGTGGTCATAAACGTGAGTGTCTGACATGAGTGATTACTGGAGGTGAGCCGTTACGTCATTTTATTGAGGGTTTGTACAGTGCAACCTTTATGTTGGAGACACTTCTTTTCCTGGCAGGAAACCAGTCATTAAATCATTGCAGGTATTGGTTTGCATGAAATCAGGCGGTACTGATTTATGATCACGCTTTCATTCCAAGATGTCTTGTTTGAATGGTGGGAGGGGACCTTCTGAGCCATGTTGACTAAATTCTTGACCCTCCCATATGCTTGTTATATTGTAGGATGACCCTCCCCATGTCCTTGTACATTTTTCCTCAAATATTTTTTTATGATCCCCTAGATCCGCTAAAGAATGTGATATTTTGTTGTGCCCCTTCCTTGGTTCTTTTTGCCTGCCCTCCCATGCTCCCCATTGGGCATTGACCTACGCCACTGGGATACGATGACATGCATCAATCAAGTCAGAGAGCCTTTGGTTGATGCTTGTCATCGTATCCCAATTGCATAGATCGATGTTCATGATGTCAATCACTGGATTGTCTGGTCCAGACTTAATTATTTACTAACCGTTGTCATATAGTTGGAATTTTGCTGAGTGCAGTGTTAAACAACATACAAACAATCAAACAAACAAACCTTACAAAGCTCAATTTTTACACGACAGTCCATATTTTTGTGTGTATATTGCAGATTGTTTACTGAAAGCAGCAGCTTAACAGGAAAGTGTTGTTGCCTTGGTAACTGCTGGTATTATGACATAGTTTTAGTTTCATTGACATTTGAACTAAGTTTATTCGCTACCGCTTGATTTCTGAAAACAAATTTAACTCTTGTAGACTTTTAGTGATGAGTGTGTTGATTTATGTGATATTAAATTACACAAGGGTTAATACAGTTTATATTACAGTGTCCCCTCGCTATTGCACTCTTTAGTATAGGAATTAGGTCCAGGTGTGTGGAAGTTCTAAACAACAAACAAACAAAACATTTGATCACGACAAGCTTTAAGATTTGAACACCAGCAATCCCATTCTCGGGGAAGAAAGTCCATCTCCCTGTTCACCAGCAATCCCATTCTCGGGGAAGAAAGTCCATCCCCCTGTTCACCAGCAATCCCATTCTCGGGGAAGAAAGTCCATCCCCCTGTTCACCAGCAATCCCATTCTCTGGGAATAAAGTCCATCTCCCTGTTCACCAACAATCCCATTCTCTGGGAAGAAAGTGCATCTCCCTGTTCACCAGCAATCCCATTCTCTGGGAAGAAAGTCAATCTCCCTGTTCACCAGCAATCCCATTCTCTGGGAAGAAAGTCAATCTCCCTGTTCACCAGCAATCCCATTCTCTGGGAAGAAAGTCCATCTCCCTGTTCACCAGCAATCCCATTCTCTGGGAAGAAAGTCTATCTCCCTGTTCACCAGCAATCCCATTCTCTGGGAAGAAAGTCCATCCCCCTGTTCACCGGCAATCCCATTCTCTGGGAAGAAAGTCCATCTCCCTGTTCACCGGCAATCCCATTCTCTGGGAAGAAAGTCCATCTCCCCGTTCACCGGCAATCCCATTCTCTGGAAAGAAAGTCCAGCTCCCTGTTCTTTGTCTTAATAGAATTGAATTATATGGGTTATTGTCAAACAATGTGAACAACAAAACCCTGGTCTTCCTAATAAGTCTTTACAATATCATGTATCTAAAACATTACCATCTTAACTCCTGGGTCATAAACAGGCTCAATGGACTTTGACAAAAGAATATTTGATGGATATTGACAATCACCCAGTCACACTTGGCCGGGTGTAGCCCTATAGAGGATAAGTTAGGTAGGTCAATGAACAATGAAATCTTCCACCCTCATCCTAACTGTTGTTCCAGTTGGTGATACTTGGTGTTGTTAGCAGCTAGTAATCGTTGCTTCAATCGACTGTGTCTCTCTCCCTCGAATGTTTGCATGTTGCTGTGGACGTGTGTCCGTCTTCATCGATGTGGATGTCAGTGTATATGTCAGGGCATTGATTGACTAATCAGGTGTATTGTTTTTCAAATGGTAGCCAAAGAAATCACTGATTCTGCTTTTCCAGATTGAGGTTAATAAGGACATGGTTGTAAGACAATGAGGGATAACGTGTGTTGCGGCTATTTTGCTTTGTGTTTATTCAAAGGTGTTGTCATATGGTTGACTGGGTAGGCTAATGCATATTGTTTGAGGCACACAGTGTCAAGAAGTTCACATGAATCGATGGGTAATACTGATTGAATTCAGGAATGGGTATTTCATCATATGAATGGTTTAAATGACCACAACCTCGGAGCGGGTAATTTTTTAAGTGAATCCAATGAACTTCCTCTTGACCGATCCTTGTTCGTTTGGAACTCTAATTACTGGTAGCTGGTATTTCCATATACATAGACATGTTTGTTTGTTTGTTTGTTTGTTTGTTTGATGCTGCACTCAGCAGTATTCAAGCTCTATGACAGTGGTCTGTAAATAATCAAATCTGGACCAGACAATCCAGTGATTGACGTCATGAGCATCGATCCCTGCAATTGGGATACAATGACATGCACCAACCAGGTCAGCGAGCCTGACAACCCGATCCCATTAATCGCCTTTTACGACAAGCATAGTCGTCTTTTATAGCAAGCATGGGTGGCTGAAGATCTATATAAACCCGGATCTTCATGGGTCATCTTTGTAGGGGGCGCTTATAAAGAATACAAACTGGTCTAGAAGCTGGTCCAATGAGGAGGGTGCTTATTGAGCTTATAAGCATTGATATGATTACATCCATTAACCAAGTCAGTGAACCTGACAACCAATTCCCATTAGACGCCACTTATGACAAGCATGGGTTACTGAAGACCAATTCTAACCCATATTTTGTACACAGACATCAAATAAAACTGAACCCATGATGTGAATATGGAACTTTGTTAATCTGGATGATTTCACTGGGATTGACACAATCCAGATTGATGGGGTTTCAGTGGACAAAACTAGGTGTTGTCTTCCTTTGTTTAGACACAGTTCTTAGGTGCTGCCAGTGAGTGCCTACATTAATTCAGAAATAAACGAGGAGGAGGAGTTGTTTAATTCTTATATGAGATATCAACAATATTTACATCTTCAAAATTACAAAATTTACAAGCTTAAGCATATTTACCTGTATTTAAATAATGATGACTACCTGAATACTATCCGATCACGGCAATGTCGGACAAGTCCATTTCATGAACAGGGGGTTAAGTTTAGTGTTTCACTAACTCATTACCCTCTAAAAAATAATGTCGCCCAGTTTACAGCGTCATCAAGTTGTGAGCGCATGTTCAAATCCCCAGAAATGACATCATGATAGGAGAATGTTTTATTTTGAAATAAACCACGCCTTGTTCTTAATTGTTCTTTGTGATTTATCGTGTAGCTGTCGTAGCTATGACCCATGCCTTGGTAACACATTGTTTTCACACGAGGATATACAAGATAGTCTGGAATCACTCGCATGGAATAGTGTGCCATAGTCAGTGTATGTCAGTATAGATGAACATACAAGGACAAGCGAGGTGAGGTGAAATGGGGTTTAACCTCACATTCAAGATGCACATGTGTGTGTGATTGTGTGGCTGCTTGTACTAGTCCGAACTGATGCCGGTTTTATAATCCTAGCCCACTGAGATACCGTGCCGCAGTTTAACATAAATACTCCACTCAGACACAGTATACTGACTCTGAGCTGACCAGTCCTTGTTTTAGCCCCTTAATGTCAAGCGCCAGAGAGGGTAACAACAAGTGCCATCTTCTAACGTCTTTTGGTATGATGCGGCCAGGGATTGAGCCTCGGTCCTTCTGCTCTCATGGCAGACACTCTACCACTAGTACAAGGACAAGTGCACATTCTGAATTCTATCTGCCCAATACTTGGTTTGATTCAAGACAATGAGTGACCAGTTGAAGGATGTTTTTTTCTAGTTTATCTCTCATAGCAAAGAAGATTATTACTTTAAGTGTACGACCATTTAATGTATGCTTTATATGTGGAATGTTCTTAATTTCTAACATATCTCTGTTTTCATTTCAGATGAAGATCCCAAAAAGGTGAGTGTGATGAAGCTAGAAGATGGTAGTTTCCTTTTTAGGGTTTGGACCCGTTAAATCTGAATATTTGTGTACAGTATGACGATACAAACATGGCTATCATTGTAATTAGCAGTATTACCGATATATCAGTAAATTGAGGTTCATTCTTTTTATGATACGTACGAAATTTTTCCAAAATATTGAATCTGCTAGAGGGGGGTGCACATTATACATGGGTGCGCACTATACTCAAGAAAATAAGGTATCACAATATCAATTTCTAGTGCTCAGTATAATGGGTGATGTCAAATAGCAATTATTATCATGTGTTTAGTGTTATACATTTGCCAAATACATGTACCTTCTAAATGTTTCCGTAATTCCAAAATGCAAGTTTGCATACTGGAGTTCTTCTGTGGCAATGGTATATGACCAAGGCATCACTGTCTCAGAGCGTATTTATTGAATGAATAAACATTATGCTGTTCCAGCATCTTGTTTTGTTCCATTTATGAACTTCAATTCCTGCATTGATGTTTCAAATTGCTTCTGAATTCAAAATTTTCAATTATGCAATATATTGTGATACATATCGCAATACGGCCTTGTGCATTGTAAAATATTGTGATGCACATACCTATCCCTTGTAACACTGTGTAATTAGACAATTGTTATGTTACATTTATAATTTTACTTCTTTTAGTGAAGTATATGTTTTTGTTTTGTTTCATTTTAGGTCATACTGTACTATTCTAGAATTACGGATTTAAAATTATACAATTAATAAACATAGTCATAAGTTTATTCAAACAGGGGCCATTAGAGTTACCTCCCTTGATGTGTCAGCTCCCGTGTTTGTTCTGTCTAATGTTTCTTGATATCTATTATTAATGTCCAACTCTTTATGTTTGATGTAGAAATACTATATTTTGTATAGTGGTGCATGTAGAAATGAAAATGTATTAAATTGAATGATTGTTTATTTCAGTTTTCCTTTGATTACTCGTACTGGTAAGTTTAAATGTTAATTTGTACTTGTGGTGAGGTGTATATGGCCTCTGAGGCCTATCTTTAAGGCCTTATATTTTTAATTGTTGGTTTACAATGTTTTTGACTAAAATTCATTGTAGAATGTCGAATTTCTTTGTTTTTAAATTCAACTTTTCGTTAGAATTGGTAGTATTCGTAGGTCACAGAAGCATGGAAGAATGATTTTGAAATGATGCCAAAAGATAACTGATTGTTTTTGTTGTTGGAATAACAGTTTTTATTCATATTTTTCACCATTTCTATAAATCGCATGTTTTTTTCATTTCTCCTAATTGGAAAACAGTCAGCAGCTGGTCAGTCCACATGCGTGTCAAACATAATTTTTTTCTTCTAATGTCTGGCTTTTTGTTTGTCAGTCTCGTAAACCAACTAAAAATAATATGAGGCCTAATGAGAATATTTTTGTTTAAATATCTTCAGTCTGTGTGGTAAAATTATGTAGCAGTATATTGTTGAAAATGTTGACAAATATTTCAGATATAAATGCTTAGTGATAACACAAATAGTCACAGGGATGTTGCGAATAAATGTGTAATTTGACCTCCTGTCCAAACATTTATTTACCTTATGGAAACAAATTATCAAGATATATATTCTGTCCAGTTATATTTCAAGTATGCCTTCAAGCGCAGAAATGTACTTAAATGAAACGTGAATCTATTTGTAAAATAATCCTGCCCTGTTTAGCATGCATTTCCCGTATTTGGGCCTATTGCCTTTCACACCATTTGAATTTGAAAATATGACAGTCTGGCTATGATTAAAGAGAACAAGAAACTTTAAAAAAAATCTTTTGCTACAGGTCACATGATGGCTATTTGGAAGAGAATGGTTTGCTGGTACCACGACCAGGATCGAACTATGCAAGTCAGCGGAATGTATTTGGTGACCTGGGACAAGGCGTGCTGGACAATGCCTTTGAAGGTCAGGGTCACGTCGTGACAGAATATGTGCCTGACTGACATGTTATAACATTATGACATACATTATTTACACACAAGGGGGCACTGGTGGCCAAGGCATTTAAGCACTGGAATTCACTGTACAGATTGTGTCCCTTGGGCATGCCAGGATCCTTTAATCGTGGGTTCCAGTGTTTATGATTCTTGGTTTGTCGGCACCAAACCTGTACTTGGGGTTTCTCCAAAGTCTCAAAGATCTTAAGAACTGCATAATTTCCGACTGTTCTTCAACATTTAGCTACCACGCCATGATATAACTGGAATAATATTCAAACTCAGTCACTGAAGGGCAAGAAAGGATTGAAAAAGAAAAAGTAGAAAAGTTTGTTTCTCATTTCAACGTGATAGGAATCTCACCCTTTTGATATCAGAATATCATCTTGAGTCGATAAAAGTTAAAGGTCAAAGGCTTTTATATATGAGTGTTGATATATTGGATATTAAAAGACACCAAGGTTAGAGTGTATATATCATGTCCTGAGTGTAGAGAGGACAGTGACAGAGCAAATTGCGATGTCATTTGATTGTGACGTCATGGTTACCAATGATGTCACAATGGTCTGCAAAGCATTGTGCTGGAATTTCACTGCAGCAGTATCTCCTAGATATCCTTGACCCGAGCTATAATCACTGTGGAAGCCAGTTTTGGATGATAAAATCATTTTCCACCCTGCCCTTGTCACTCACCCAAGAGAATATAATTGAAAAAGGAGTCCAACTCAAGTCTAGTATTATTTGCGAAGTCTAGATTGCTGCAGCTGTAAATTAAGGATTGTTCTGGGCTCCATCTAGATTTTATTTTTTTTAAATAAATTTTAAAATAATTTTTTTCTAGATATATTTTTAAATAAGATACTGTATTTCTGGGACTAATGTCAGTCTAACCCTGCCCATGAGATGATTGTGATTTTCTACCATTCCAATGGCAGGTAACACAACTAAAATAACACATGATTCTTTTTGTGCCTCGTAACCTTAAAAATTTGTATGGTGTACTACATAAAGATACAGTTTTGCACTGAATTTGACAAGTATTCATGGATAGTTATGATGAAGTGTTTATTATCAACATGGATGTGATGGTGATGGTGTTTGCAGGTTACAACTGCTCGCTGTTTGCGTACGGCCAGACGGGCTCAGGGAAGTCCTACTCCATGGTGGGCTATGGAGCAAATAAGTAAGTTCATTTTACTTACATCACAGTTCTAACTAGAGGTGAGGTGAAATGGAGTTTAATGTCCATTCAAGATTATTTCACTTAAAAAGCGACATGCATGCACGTGTGTGTGTCTGCTTCTTGTTGTGGCGGTTTTATAGTGCTAGCCCACTGAGATACCAGGCCACAGTTTAACATGGTTCAATCAGGTGAAGTGAAATGGGGTTTAACGTTGCATCCAAGCGATGTGCATGCGAGTCTGTCTGTCTTTCTGTCTGTCTGTTTGTCTGTCTGTCTGTCTGTCTGTCTGTCTGTCTGTCTGTCTGTCTGTCTGTCCGTCCATCTGTCTTTCTGTCTGTCTGTCTGTCTGTCTGTCTGTCTGTCTGTCTGTCTGTCTGTCTGTCTGTCTGTCTGTCTTTTGGTATGATGCGGCCGGGGAACGAATCCCGGACCTTCCGCTGTCCGGGCGGACACTCTACCCCTAGACCACGGAGACAGTCTGGTTAAATCAGGAAGAAACTCCACAGCTGGCACTCCCCAGGACATGCCACAAAGCGGTCTTGGCAATAAGATGGTCGTAACTCCCAACTTTAACATAGACTTCCAAAAGTCAGCATTAGGATCACTCTGTACTCCTGTACACCATGCCAGGAGAACAAGTCTGGTGGCCATGTTGAATCGTCTATGTTGAATGGAAAAAGAATTCACCGATATTCACAGACATTATTCCATCAATTACTATCCCATGAGAAATCTGGGTTAGAGTTTCCGGTAAACCCCAGTAAACTATTCATAGAGCTGACGGAAATAGTTTGGATGGTGGTGTTCAGTGACTTGGCTCCTTGTCCTGGCGCCCTGATGATGAAGGATTCTGTGATGAAGGGGCAACATGATGCTTTGTTTATTTGTTTGTTTGTTGTTTGACGCCACACTCAGCAATATTCCAGCTATATAACGGCAGTCTGTAAATAATCGAGTCTGGACCAGACAATCCAGTGACTGATATCATAAGCATCGATCAACGCAATTGGGATCAATGACATGCAGTCAGCGAGTCTGACCACCCGATCCCGTTAGTCGCCTCTTATGACAAGTATGGGTTGCTGAAGACCTATTCTACCCCAGATCTTTATGGGTTCATGGGTCTGAAGCATTATGAGGAAGAATATATGTAATTCCTCATAAAAAAAGTTTCATGTCTTTGAGCTCTGATGAATAAATATGTCCATTGCAAAAAGAATTCAGATGCTGAAGACCTATTCTACCTCAGATCTTTATGGGTTCACGGGTCTGAAGCATTATGAGGAAGAATATATGTAATTCCTCATAAAAAAGTTTCATGTCTTTGAGCTCTGATGAATAAATATGTCCATTGCAAAAAGAATTCAGATTGTTTGGATGATTTATTCGACTCAAAAGAAGTTAAGGGCCCCCCAATTCTTTCATATTACTATAGTTAATCTGTCATGGGTATTGTGTGAATATGGTTTGTCATTTGAATTGAAGCCAAGTATTTTGATCATTTGATGTCATATGTGTCTAGATGTATTGATGCTCAATTGCTTTCATTTGTTTCCAGGGGAATAGTCCCTATCACCTGTGATGAACTGTTTAAGACAATGGATGCTAACACAGATCCTAACAAGGTAATTTCTTCAAGAACACACAACTCATCAAACAACAACCATTATTAAAAGACTGAACTTATATTATTCTGGGGTCACCTGTTTTGTTTCTGAAAGACAGGATATTTTTCGGTTACTCCATAAAAAAAAAGAAGATTTTTTTCTGAAAGTAGGACCCGAACAATTTATAATTTTTAATCATATAATTGGTTGATTGGGTCAGTCAGAATTAATATTGACCTTCTAAAATGTCTAATTGATATTAAATAAATGTTTAGAAAACTGAAAATATATACTGAACCACTAAAGAATTTTCACTTCATGAAAGTTTCCCATTGAAATGTGGTGGCCCAGTCGTCTAAGGCGCCGCGATTTGCTGTGCAGAGTTGCGTCCCTTGGGCACGCCAGAAACCTATGATTCTGGGTTCCAATCCCGGTTCGCCCAGATTATGTTTCTAGGTTTGTCAGCACCATACCCGTGCTCGTGGGTTTCACCGAAGTGGTTAACGCCTGAGACCTGCATCACTTCAGGCTTTCCTCCAACATTAAGCTGACACGCTGCGATATAACTGGAATAGTGTTAAAAGCGGCGTTAAACCCAACTCAGTTATGAAAATTAAAATTCACTCACGTTTCCTTTTCTGATACACGGCACCCCGATACATCGATCCAACATTATTGTATGCATACTAGCGCCATGCCAAGACTTACGAAGAATCAGAGAAAAACCAGTCTTTAGGACGACTGCATGCTGTTGGTGACCTTGTGTCGTTGCAGTAATCTGTAGATGGTTCTCACATTAAAAGTATTGGCAACCATTCGTGCAGTCTGACCTGCATGCATTCATCCTAGAACAATGGAAAGATTTGTAGTTCAGTATAGGTTAACAATGCTAACACAAGTCTTTTTTTGTGCCAGAGGTTTGAGGTGACCTTCTCCATGTTGGAGATCTACAATGAGCAGGTGCGTGACCTTCTGTCCAAAGATAACCCGAAGGGCGGACTCACGGTGCGGCAGAACCCCAAACTTGGCATGTTCTACGTGGAGAATCTGAAACGTGTACCAGTTGGCAGCTACGAGGAAATTGAAAAGAGAACGGAACAAGGTTTGTTTAAGATTCTGTACAATAGTCTCGCCAATTTATGATTCCCTGTATTCTACATCTTCCCAAGGCAATGGAGTTAACTGACTTTAAAAGTCCAGTTTCCACCCTTGCCGAACTAGGCTGCAATTATGGAGTTATATTTTGGTTGGACTAATGAGTCTATGCAAAACATGTGTACCGACAACTTAGCGTCAACAGATATTTTCCAGATCTTTTCATGTTTCTAATCAAGGTGCTCATGTGATTTGATGCTCTTCTCAAAGTTAGACCTGTTTTATTACAAAATAGGTCTTGATTATCGATCAGATCGTCTTCACAGGGTGATTTTATTTGAAGCAAATGCAAGGGATATGAGAGGTGGTATCTGATTGGTCAGTGGGGGACACTGAAGTGACATAACTCGTAATAGCCACTGGTGGCGCTACAATTGTGCCCAGAAATACCAGCCTAATCCTAAGGATGGAAACTGGAATTTTACTGAAGTTAACTCCCTTGCCTCGGGAAGATGTGTATTCTAGATCATTGTAAATATTAAAAGGTAGTGATGGTTTATGGTGTGTAGTGATTGTTTGGTATACTTTACATCCATGGGAGCAGTTGGAAGAGCTGGTGGGACCAAATGCTTTCAACAATGAAGGGGCTTCATTACATTTCCTCTGTGGTTCCTGAGTACCTCATGCTTGTCATAAGAGCAACCCCGTGAAGAGCTGGGTAGAATTGGTCTTCAGCAAGCCATGCTTGTCGGAAGAGGCGACTAACGGGATCGGGTGGTCAGGATCGCTGACTTGGTTGATGCATGTCATCGTGTCCAACTTACAGTGATCGATGCTCATGATATCAATCACTGGATTGTCTGGTCCAGATTTGAATATCTACAGAACGGTCATATAGCTGGAACATTGTTCACTGCAGCGTTAAACAACAAACAATAAACAAATCATAAGATTATGGGGAATAAAATACAATAGTTTCCTTGATGATTGTGTGTGATCACACACCGGTGAATTGAATCGTTGTTTGTGCTATGAAGCACTAGTTTCCTAACCCAGACCTGATTATTTTCAGGCTATAATGTGGCTGGTGTGTTGAGAGTGTATAACAACATACTTAAGTAAAGACGAGGTGGCGACAGAATGGTTGCCTATGCTTCCAAATTCTAGATTTCCTGGCTCAGTTTGCGTTGCAGGCTTCAATGACTGAGAATAATGGTGACTGTGATGTAAACAGCCATCTAAGGCGCCGCAATTTGCTGTGCAGAGTTTCATCCCTTGGGCACACCAGTTTGATTAACAAAAATTGTGGGTTAAAATCCTAGTTCGCCCCGATTTTGTTTTTCGGTTTGTCAGCACCATACCCATGCTCGTGGTTTTCACCAAAGTTGTAAACGTTGTACATCGCCTTGAGCTTTCCTCCCACATTAAGCTGACATGCTGTGATGTCACTGGCATACTATTTAAAGCAGTGTTAAACCAACCTCACTTATTCACTCACTGATGTATATTGACTAATCTGGTGTTGTGTCCTAGGTACGGCAAGTCGAACGGTGGCATCTACCAACATGAACGCCACCAGTAGTCGGGCTCACACTGTTGTCACCATCACATTCGACCAGATCATCAAGAACGAGGTTGGCTCGGAGACGAAGAAAAGCAGTGTGATGAACTTGGTGGATCTGGCTGGTATGTGCCGTATCAGATACTTGGGGCAGGGGCGGGGGTAGCCTAGTGGTTTAAGTATTCGCTTGTCACACTGAAGACCAGGTTTGAATCCCACATCCTTTGCCTAATTACCATACACACCTCTACATTCAGTCATTGTCAGTTAACCAAGAAATTGGGTCGGTCGGGTAGCCTTGTGGTTAAAGCGTTTGCTCGTCATGCCGAAGACCCGGGTTCGATTCCCGACATGGGTACATTGTGTGAAGCCCATTTCTGGTGTCCCCCGCCGTGATATTGCTGGAATATTGCTAAAAGCGACGTAAAACCATACTCACTCACTCACTAACTAAGAAATTTCTTTTTGCCATCTTAGACAAAAATCTGTGCTTCAATTAGTCAATATTAGTCTACGTAAGACATTTTGATAAGTGTCTAAGATACTGCCACACTAAATATTTGTAAATGCAGTCAAGTCCCGTTAATCCGACGTGGTTAATTGCATATGATTATGAATAATGGGTCTAAATAGCACTGATTTAATTGGTTCCCATCATTAGTGTCGGATTAACAAGTATGTCAGATAAACAAAATTAGGTCGTATCAAGGGTCATGATAAAAAATCGGACAACTGGTCGGTCAAAGATCGGATTAACGAGTGTCGGATTAACGAGACTTGACTCTATACTGATTTACTTATAATCGAATACTTCTGTCAGGTTCTGAGAGAGCTGACAGTACCGGTGCCACAGGAGATCGTCTCAAGGAGGGAGCCAACATCAACAAGTCCCTCTCAGCGCTCGGAAATGTCATATCGGTAAGTAACTTGCGCTGAGAATCTTGCGGGAATCTTATTTTGCGTTGGATATGGCAAGACTGACTGTCGAACTGTTGTAGATTCTGACATTTGTTTTTGATGCCTGCAGGCGCTGGCCGACCTGTCGATGGGGAAGAAGAAGATTGTGGTGCCGTACCGAGATTCGGTCCTTACCAAGCTGCTCCAGAACGCTCTTGGAGGAAACAGGTCAGTGTTACAACCTTCTTGTCTGGTTCCTCAGCCACTCGAGTCGGTAGCCACCCTGCAGAGTAACATAATACTACATCACAGGTTCGAGTCCAAGTTCAACCCAAATATGTTTCAAGGTTTGCCACCATCATACCTGTGTTGTAATAAGTAGTGATTGTCTACTCCAAGCTCCTTCCCAGCGCGTGACACCTTCGTTACACTCTCTGTAACATCTCTGCCACCAGTGTGGGCGCGGCCATTACAAGAATCTCGAAATTTGCCCTCTAACCCCATGTGTAGTAACGTTTATACTTTTGTTTATGTCTTTGGGAATGCCATCATATTTCATTTTGAAAAGGTTTACGACTGACCATGTTTTCCAGATAAATTTACTTTGTTGTTTTATAATCAGATTGGTTGGAGATTGCAGACTCACGGAAAATCAACCAACTTCTCCCTTACATTCTTACTATATCAATTAAAGATGATACTTTTAATGAAATAGAAATTCAAACTGACAAACGAAGAAAGTAATTTATCAGTGATAAGTGTATTCGTCGTCACGATAGTCGTCACTTGTTTGTAAACATAACGGTCAATCAGCTGCGAGTTCAACTCCAAGCATGGTTGGGGCCACCTATCACAGTGGGGAGTTTTGACTGGTTGCAGCGATAGTTTAGAGAGCTCCACAAACGGACTATTGCTGTGAGGAGCTTGTGTCTACTCTAGTTGTAAAACCAACATAATGTGTGGTCTGATGGCTGCAGACAGTATGTTTATTATAATCATAATCATAATCATAATCATATAGTAATAGACATTTGTATCACACCATATCCACCCAACAGTGCATGCTCATAGTGCTACATGAAAACACGTGAAAAGACAATTACCGTATTCGACGTAATAAGCTCCCTGCTCTAATAAGCACCCACGGCGATATTTGCTAATATATTGGCTAGTGAACAATCTCAATTAGCACCCCTTCTGATTGATCAATGTACACTAGACTTATTTATTCTCGTATAATACTCACTCGTGTGTTACATGCATTCTTAATTATGGGCAATTTAATTCTGGAAAAATATATCTGTCGCATATGAACATTTCAGTCTGTCAGCATAAACCACGAAATTTATCTTTCAACTCTGTTTTTTCCACCAAAATAATATTCTAATAAGAGCCCCCTACTTCTTATTTTGAGAGCGCCCTGGGTGCTTATTACGTCAAATACGGTAAGCATATTGTTGTTGGAGATGGAGATTGCTTCGTGACCAAAGGTAGAGAATTCCACAGAGTTGGTGCTGAGTGTGAAATGTTTTGCAGCTAAAGTTTTATAGTTCTCTTTTGGGGATTATTGGCATCTCTGGATTCTCGTGATTTTCAACTGTTTGATTCCAGTAAAACTGTTATGATCGCTGCCCTTTCACCTGCTGACATCAACTACGATGAAACGTTGGGAACGTTACGATATGCAGACCGTGCCAAAAAAATTAAGAATCAAGCTGTCATCAATGAAAATCCACTGGACAAAATGATAAGAGAACTCAAGGTAAAAACACAATTAACAGTTGTGAAGATAGTAGCTTATGTCCGTGAACAGTAAATGTGAATATGATTGATGCTGAAAGAATGTGTACCAAAACTGTGTTTATCATGTGTTGTAATTGTGAAGTTTGTTCTTATGAGTTGCTTGTTTTGTTGGTGAAATTTGGATCTGTGATTGTCTACAAGGTCAAAAAGGTCTTTGCAAGCTGTATCTAAGTGCAAAACCCCCAGAGAGGCCCCCAGTATCCCATGCTTGTCTCACCTTGGTGATTCCAGGGTAGAATAGGCCTCCAGTATCCCATGCTTGTCTCCCCTTGGGGGTTTCAGGGCAGAATAGGCCCCCAGTATCCCATGATTGTCTCCCCTTGGTGATTCCAGGTCAGAACAGGCCCCTAGTATTACATGCTTGTCTTACCTTGGTGATTCCAGGTCAGAATAGGCCCCTAGTATTACATGCTTGTCTTACCTTGGTGATTCCAGGTCAGAACAGGCCCCTAGTATTACATGCTTGTCTCACCTTGGTGATTCCAGGGCAGAATAGGCCCCAAGTATTACATGCTTGTCTCACCTTGGTGATTCCAGGGCAGAATAGGCCCCAAGTATCCCATGCTTGTCTCACCTTGGTGATTCCAGGTCAGAACAGGCCCCAAGTATCCCATGCTTGTCTCACCTTGGTGATTCCAGGTCAGAATAGGCCCCAAGTATCCCATGCTTGTCTCACCTTGGTGATTCCAGGTCAGAATAGGCCCCAAGTATCCCATGCTTGTCTCACCTTGGTGATTCCAGGACAGAATAGGCCCCCAGTATCCCATGCTTGTCTCACCTTGGTGATTCCAGGGCAGAATAGGCCCCCAGTACCTCATACTTATCTCCCCTTTGGGGTTTCAGGGCAGAACAGCTCCATGACTACCACATTCTTGTCTCCTCATGGGGATCTAGTGAAGAATATATCACCATTATAGGTCCAAGTTCCTCACACATTGTGACACCAACATGATGAACTGTTATTTCAAGAAGATATCAGCCTCAAATGTTCTTAATGAATTGACTTGAATGAGAGTGATGTATTACAGGAAGAGAACGACCGATTGAAGCGTGCCCTGGATGGTGGGGGAGTCATTGGTGGCGGAGATGTGACCATGTCACCAGAAGGTCAGTTGACTGCAGATTGATGAAAATAGATTAATGATCAATTAAGAAGATTTAAAAATCTTGAAATTCTTGTCCCAAGCAAGATGAAGTTACAGCTCTAAGAGTGTAAATATTAGTTACCTATTGTTGATGTTGTTTGAAATATGATTCCATGTTGGTAACAAGCTTGTTGCTGTTGTTGCAGACCAGATGCAGATGAGGAAGAAGATGGAGGAGGAGATCCGGGCACAGCTGATGGCCAACCAGCAGCTCCTCACAGACAACATCCAGAACTGGGACCAGAAGGTAGGCCTCCTCCTCCTCCTCCTCCTCCTCCTCACACATCAGGCCTTATCAGCCTCCTCACACACCAGGCCTTATCAGCCTCCTCCTCACACATCAGGCCTTATCAGCCTCCTCCTCCTCCTCACACATCAGGCCTTATCAGCCTCCTCCTCACACATCAGGCCTTATCAGCCTCCTCACACATCAGGCCTTATCAGCCTCCTCCTCCTTCCCATACACCAGGCCTTATCAGCCTCCACCTCCCACTCACACATCAGGCCTTATCAGCCTCCTCCTCCTCCTCACACATCAGGCCTTATCAGCCTCCTCACACACCAGGCCTTATCAGCCTCCTCACACACCAGGCCTTATCAGTCTCCTCCTCCTCACACACCAGGCCTTATCAGCCTCCTCACACATCAGGCCTTATCAGCCTCCTCCTCACACACCAGGCCTTATCAGCCTCCTCACACACCAGGCCTTATCAGCCTCCTCACACACCAGGCCTTACCAGCCTCCTCACAACCCAGGTCTTATCAGCCTCCTCACACATCAGGCCTTATCACCCTCCTCCTCCTCCTCACACATCAGGCCTTATCAGCCTATTCACACACCAGGCGTTATCAGCCTCCTCACACACCAGGCCTTATCAGCCTCCTCACACACCAGGCCTTATCAGACTCCTCACACACCAGGCCTTATCAGCCTCCTCACACACCAGGCCTTATCAGCCTCCTCCTCCTCACACACCAGGCCTTATCAGCCTCCTCCTCCTCCTCCTCCTCCTCCTCCTCCTCACACACCAGGCCTTATCAGCCTCCTCACACACCAGGTCTTATCAGCCTCCTCACACATCAGGCCTTATCACCCTCCTCCTCCTCCTCACACATCAGGCCTTATCAGCCTCCTCCTCACACACCAGGCCTTATCAGCCTCCTCACACACCAGGCCTTATCAGCCTCCTCACACATCAGGCCTTATCAACCTCCTCCTCACACATCAAGCCTTATCAGCCTTCTCACACACCAGGCCCTATCAGACTCCTCACACATCAGGCCTTATCAGCCTCCTCCTCCTCCTCACACATCAGGCCTTATCAGCCTCCTCACACATCAGGCCTTATCACCCTCCTCCTCCTCCTCACACACCAGGCCTTATCAGCCTCCTCCTCCTCACACATCAGGCCTTATCAGCCTCCTCCTCCTCCTCCTCCTCCTCCTCCTCACACACCAGGCCTTATCAGCCTCCTCACACACCAGGTCTTATCAGCCTCCTCACACATCAGGCCTTATCACCCTCCTCCTCCTCCTCACACATCAGGCCTTATCAGCCTCCTCCTCACACACCAGGCCTTATCAGCCTCCTCACACACCAGGCCTTATCAGCCTCCTCACACATCAGGCCTTATCAACCTCCTCCTCACACATCAAGCCTTATCAGCCTTCTCACACACCAGGCCCTATCAGACTCCTCACACATCAGGCCTTATCAGCCTCCTCCTCCTCCTCACACATCAGGCCTTATCAGCCTCCTCACACCCCAGGCCTTATCAGCCTCATCCTCCTCACACATCAGGCCTTATTAGCCTCCTCCTCCTCCTCCTCCTCACACACCAGGCCTTATCAGCCTCCTCACACACCAAGCCTTATCAGCCTCCTCACACACCAGGCCTTATCAGCCTGTAAATGTCATTTTAATAAACATCAAGTGATTCATGAGTATGTTTCGGACGCCAATTCCAGCTGACCGAGGCGCGGCACGAGACAGACGCCATCACCCAGGCTGACCACCGAGAAATGTCCAAGAAGAAGACAATGCCTCACATGGTCAACCTGAATGAGGACCCCATGCTCTCAGGGGTCGTGTTCCACTTCCTTGAACAAGGGGACACAACTATTGGCAGGAAAGATGCAAGCCCACAACCAAAGATTTGCCTCAGCGGACTTAGGTAGGTATTCTTAAAAGTTTATCCACTTGAATTCCATTAATTCAAAGTACTATAGAATGTGATTGTACAGCTGAACCCTATTAAATCAACTAATCAGCAAAATGTTTTCAAGATGTTTTGGGGGGCACGGGTGGCCCAGTCGTCTAAGGCGTCGCGATTCGCTGTGCAGAGTTGCGTCCCTTGGGCACTCCAGAAACCTATGATTGTGGGTTCAATTCCTGGTTCGCCCTGATTATGTTTCTAGGTTTTTCAGTACAACACCTGTGCTCAAGGGTTTTACCGAAGTGGTAAACATCTGTGACCTGCTTCACTTCAGGCTTTCCTCCCATATTAAGCTGACACGCCGTGATATAACTGGAATACTGTTAAAAGCGGCTTTAAACCCAGCTCACTCACTCACTCACTCAGCCTCAACATCGATAACATTAGTTAACTAAGAGGATTGAGCGGCAATACCTACATCTACAACTTTTGGAGGGGGATACGGGCAGAATCCTTTTCTTATCAGATTGGTTCAATGCGTTGATAACATTAGATCTGATTGGTCCACATGATCTTGATAAAATACTGTGTAACCCATCTTGGAGGGCAATAAATTTCTTAGTGGGGGAATAAATCTCTTATACCCCGCCACGAGCAATGCATGCGTAGGCTGCATGTGGATATCTGAGTGACAGAATAAATCCCTTATACCCCACTTCAAAGCAAAAAGCCACATGCTTTTCCCGAGTCAGTGGAAGTCATGTGACATAGCACAAGTTAACCGCAGCTTAATTGACAGCTGTTTTCTATCAATGTTGAATTTGTGTTAATTCTTTGATGATGTCACATTAAAACATGTTGGTACGATAAATTCGTAGCAGGAATGCGTCCCACATTAGTTTTTATACCATGAGCCGGAGGCGAGTAGTATAAAACCTAACGTGGGATGCATTAAACCCCATGTACCCCTCGTGATCTTGCTACAACTTAAACTATTATGTGATTCAAAGCTTTATTGTCTACTAGTTTATGATTCTAATGTATGACAGTTTATATGGTAAATATCCCTGATAATCGCTCCCCAGCATACAGAAGCAGCATGCAGTCATCTACAACACAAATAATGGCGTCGAGATCGAACCTGTTGGCAACCACGGCGCCAAGACCAAGGTGAACGGATTGCCACTTGCCGGCCGCAAACAGCTGTGCCATAAAGACAGGATTCTGTTTGGTGAGTGTCTCCAGGAAGCTGCTTGTTAGAGGCAAGTAATAGGATCAGATGGTGAGGATCTCTGACTTGGTTGATGCAGTCATCGCATCCCAGTTGCATAGATCGATGCTCACAACATTGATCACTGAATTGTTTGGTCCAGACTCAATTATTTAAAGCTATGATCATATGGCTGGGGTATTGCCGAGTGCAGCGTTAAACAACAAACAAACAAACAAACAAAAACAATATTCTCTTACTCCCTCATTTGCTGAAAGCAGCGCTCACTCACCCACTCACACATTCACACACTCACTCACTCACTCACTCCAAATATGTAGGTTGTTTCAAATTGTTCACACGCAGTTGTTGGGCTGAATATTTTGTAACACATATTTTGCATCTCGCTATGTTCCAGGTTCGAATCACCTGTATGTGTTCATGAACCCCCTGAAGCCCGAGACCGATGTGGACCTCCCAGCCCAGATCACGTGGGAGTTTGCCCAGAAGGAGATCGCGCAGGCCAAGGGTTTTGCCACAGGATCAGCGGGCATGACAAAAGGTACTTTAATAATTTGGTCAAGGCTCTCTGTTCATCTTTTCAAGGTTTCTTTCTTTGGGGGATTTAGGGGCAAAATATGTCTGCAGTACCCACTGCTTGTTGTGAGGGCAGCTGAGAAAGGATTTGGTGGTTTAAATGAGTGACAATGATGATTGTGATGATCATGCCGCGATGGCCTGATGCCCTGATCCTACTCATGCAATCATGACAGGCCAATGGCAGTGGCGTAAAGCAACAGTCACTCAGTATTTCAGTGACTGACCTTCTTGCTGCTCATACTGTCAATCACTGGCTTCATTAATTAGTGGCCACTGTAGGGTAGCTGGACTATTACTGACAGTGGCATAAAACAACAGTCACTCAGTATTTCAGTGACTGACCTTCTTGCTGCTCATACTGTCAATCACTGGCTTCATTAATTAGTGGCCACTGTAGGGTAGCTGGACTATTACTGACAGTGGCATAAAACAACAGTCACTCAGTATTTCAGTGACTGACCTTCTTGCTGCTCATGCTGTCAACCACTGGCTTTATTATTTAGTGGCCACTGTAGGGTAGCTGGACTATTATTGACAGTGGCATAAAACAACAGTTGATCAGTATTTCAGTGACTGACCTTCTTGCTGCTCATACTGTCAATCACTGGCTTCATTAATTAGTGGCCACTGTAGGGTAGCTGGACTATTACTGACAGTGGCATAAAACAACAGTCACTCAGTATTTCAGTGACTGACCTTCTTGCTGCTCATACTGTCAATCACTGGCTTCATTAATTAGTGGCCACTGTAGGGTAGCTGGACTATTACTGACAGTGGCATAAAACAACAGTCACTCAGTATTTCAGTGACTGACCTTCTTGCTGCTCATACTGTCAATCACTGGCTTCATTAATTAGTGGCCACTGTAGGGTAGCTGGACTATTACTGACAGTGGCATAAAACAACAGTCACTCAGTATTTCAGTGACTGACCTTCTTGCTGCTCATACTGTCAATCACTGGCTTCATTAATTAGTGGCCACTGTAGGGTAGCTGGACTATTACTGACAGTGGCATAAAACAACAGTCACTCAGTATTTCAGTGACTGACCTTCTTGCTGCTCATACTGTCAATCACTGGCTTCATTAATTAGTGGCCACTGTAGGGTAGCTGGACTATTACTGACAGTGGCATAAAACAACAGTCACTCAGTATTTCAGTGACTGACCTTCTTGCTGCTCATGCTGTCAATCACTGGCTTCATTAATTAGTGGCCACTGTAGGGTAGCTGGACTATTACTGACAGTGGCATAAAACAACAGTCACTCAGTATTTCAGTGACTGACCTTCTTGCTGCTCATGCAGGTCAACCCCGGCTTTATTAATTAGTGGCCACTGTGATGAAGCTGGAATATGGCTGACAGAAATAAAACATTCACTGGGTCCGTATTTTTGCAAGTGCTTGTTTTTGATCACAGAACAGCAGATCGCCCAGGAGCAGATCCTTGAGATCCTCCCAATGGTGTCGGAGGTCAATGCTGTGTCGGAGGAACTCAACAAGCAGAAAAACTTCGAGGTTGTCCTGATCTCCGCAGCAGCGCAGGAGGGACAGGGCGGCCAGAAGGGAACAAGGTACACCCTATTTCTCATTCTGTCCTCGTCTTTCAGTGTCTTTACCTTTTAGATTTGAATGTTTCCGTCATAAGCATAGGCTCTTAAAGATTTTTTTTATGAAATATAATGTCAACTGCAGTAATTAATGATGAAGAATTTTCTTGAGATTCAACTTCTTTCCTTCATTGAGCAGAGGCCCCAGTGGTCTGAAGAACTATATTGTACTGTTCAGAGTTATGTCCCTTAGAGGTATGTCACTTAGAGTAATGCCCCTTAGTTGCCAGAGCCTGTTGACCATATCAGATTGTTTCAGAATGACATTTAGGCAAGTAACTGCAATGTGATATGTGTAAGTAATTAGTACAAGGCGGTAACTAACTGATATTGTCCCGTGTCAGGAACTTCAGTAAGATGAGAATTAAGCTAAGGTGAATAACCTGTTACTAATAGATATGCTTAATTTCAGCATGTTCCTATGGTTACCAGATAGGATAGGGTTTCAAAAGTATTGTTCTTGGAAAATCATTAAGGGGATATTGTTTGTTCTGTATGTTTTTTATGAATTATTTATATATTATCTATCTATAGAGCAACCAGGCCTTACTTTCATAATTATTGCTAAAGAAAGTAATAATTTTGGTTAAAATGTTTTTATTTGTAAGTCCTGTACAAAATGATAATTCTTAGCAGTTTTTGTAAATTTCAATTATTAACTTCATATTAAGACACATGAAATAGTTGACAAACGGAAGTACAATAATATGAAGTCATTTTTATGGAAAACTGTATACTAATATTGTAGTAGAATTCTGAATTCAAATGAAGTACTATTTGGTCTAATATATTATGAATTTCCAGTGTTGGCATTTTCACTCCAATGTATGTAGCCGTGTTCTTGATTGAGTCATGTATCGATGCTTGCAGTTATAACTTCACATCTCATTGCTATTGAATTGCCTTCACAAATGCATGTAACATTTGTATTTTTAGTACACATTAATCATTAAGATTTCTCAGTGGGATTGAAGGGGCATAGCTGTCTTAGTCGTCTAAAGTGTTTTAATTCACTGTGCAGAGTTACTTCCCTTTGGAGTACCAGAAACCAATAATGAAGGGTTCCAATTCAACATTTGTCCTGATTATGTCAGTTTGTCTGAACCATACCCGACCTAGGGTTTCACCAAAGTGGTAAATGTCAAAGACGTGCATCACCTCGACCTTCCCTCGATATCAAACTCTGATAGCTATGACTGACCCGACCTAGGGTTTCACCAAAGTGGTAAATGTCAAAGACGTGCATCACCTCGATGTTCCCTCGATATCAAACTCTGATAGCTATGACTGACCCGACCTAGGGTTTCACCAAAGTGGTAAATGTCAAAGACGTGCATCACCTCGACCTTCCCTCGATATCAAACTCTGATAGCTATGACTGACCCGACCTAGGGTTTCACCAAAGTGGTAAATGTCAAAGACGTGCATCACCTCGACCTTCCCTCGATATCAAACTCTGATAGCTATGACTGACCCGACCTAGGGTTTCACCAAAGTGGTAAATGTCAAAGACAGTGCATCACCTCGACCTTCCCTCGATAACAAACTCTGATAGCTATGACTGACCCGACCTAGGGTTTCACCAAAGTGGTAAATGTCAAAGACGTGCATCACCTCGACCTTCCCTCGATATCAAACTCTGATAGCTATGACTGACCCGACCTAGGGTTTCACCAAAGTGGTAAATGTCAAAGACGTGCACCCCCTCGACCTTCCCTCGATATCAAACTCTGATAGCTATGACTGACCCGACCTAGGGTTTCACCAAAGTGATAAATGTCAAAGACGTGCATCACCTCGACCTTCCCTCGATATCAAACTCTGATAGCTATGACTGACCTGACCTAGGGTTTCACCAAAGTGGTAAATGTCAAAAGCCGTGCATCACCTCGACCTTCCCTCGATATCAAACTCTGATAGCTATGACTGACCCGACCTAGGGTTTCACCAAAGTGGTAAATGTCAAAGACGTGCATCACCTCGACCTTCCCTCGATATCAAACTCGGATAGCTATGACTGACCCGACCTAGGGTTTCACCAAAGTGGTAAATGTCAAAAGCCGTGCATCACCTCGACCTTCCCTCGATATCAAACTCTGATAGCTATGACTGACCCGACCTAGGGTTTCACCAAAGTGATAAATGTCAAAGACGTGCATCACCTCGACCTTCCCTCGATATCAAACTCTGATAGCTATGACTGACCCGACCTAGGGTTTCACCAAAGTGGTAAATGTCAAAGACGTGCATCACCTCGACCTTCCCTCGATATCAAACTCTGATAGCTATGACTGACCCGACCTAGGGTTTCACCAAAGTGATAAATGTCAAAGACGTGCATCACCTCGACCTTCCCTCGATATCAAACTCTGATAGCTATAACTGAAATTAAATAGGAACAGATCTTGAAAATAATTTTATTGCATTATTTCATAAAATATCACATACAGGTAATGAAAAAATGAAAAATAACATCCAGATATGTTTTGCTATCAACTATATATGCTTGTCCTAATTCCTGTTAGAGCACTGATTTGCCTGTCGTGAGAGCTAATCACATATACAAGTGTTTTTGTCTTGCAGTGATGTGAATTCAATTTTTGATGACCATTTTCACATTTTCAGAGTGTATATTTGCATATTTTAGACATTTACATTTTTTCCATATTTTACTTAATTCCCAATAGCAGGAGCAAGGATGCAGCCAGGTATCTCACTCCCTGATCTGCCAATCCATCTGCTTGTCTCAAAGACAAACAAATTTTCTCATTGCCAAGCCCAGTATTTAGTTGCCTGGAATCTTTCCCTTGAAACATATTTATCCTTTGTCCAGCTTCCTCTCTATGCTAGTCACTGTGGACATGATTTAGAACCTTTTTCTAAGAAGCAACATTACTTGATAAGTAATTCTTACTTATAATTCTCTTCTGCATATTATGTACGGAAGCGTAGTAGGGCCACGGTGAATTTTGTTGTTGTCAAAGTATCTCCTACGTAGGACTTATTATCTCCCATGTAGGACTTATTATCTCCTACGTAGGACTTAGTATCTCCTACGTAGGACTTATTATCTCCTACGTAGGACTTAGTATCTCCTACGTAGGACTTACTATCTCTTACATAGGACTTAGTATGGCCTAGAATCACTATCTCCTACGTAGGACTTAGTATCTCCTACGTAGGACTTACTATCTCCTACGTAGGACTTACTATCTCCTACGTAGGACTTATTATTTCTTACATAGGACTTATTAGCTCCTACGTAGGTCTTCCTATCTCCTACGTAGGAGATACTAAGTCCTACATAGGAGATAGTTATTCTAGTCCATACTAAGTCCTACGTAGGAGATACTTAGACAAAAAAAAAATTCACCGTGGCCCTACTACACTTCTGTAATTATGATATATATCTTTTTTAAAAAAAACTATTATTGTATTTGCTTCAAAGCTTTGACCGCTTTAAAATATATTTTATTTTTATATAAAATTATGATATTATTTTACTATGCTTCAAAGCATGAATATTATTTATTAGCTTTCTTTTATAAGAGGTAAAAATGACCAATTTGTTTTTCCAACACAAGAATAGGCATAAGAAACATAATGGATTCTAATATGCAAAACATTTGTGAAAACTCTGTGTGTGTGTGTGTGTGTGTGTGTGTGTGTGCCATGCGTGCGTGCGTGCGTGAGGGCGTGCGGGCAGGCGGGCGGGCGTGCGTGTGTGAGAGAGAGAATTGAACCCATGGTCATGCTCCTCCAACAGGTCTCTTGTTGGTCTGGGGGCAGTCGTCTAAGGTGCCGCTATTCGCTGTGCAGAGTTGCGTCCCTTGGGCATGCCAGGAACCTATGATTGTGGGTTCGAATCCCGCTTCGCCCCAATTATGTTTCTAGGTTTGTCAGCACCATACCCGTGCTCGTGGGTTCACCTAAGTGGTAAATGTCTGAGACCTGCATTACTTCAGGCTTTCCTCCCACATTAAGCTGACATGCCGTGATATAACTGGAAGACTGTTAAAAGCGGTGTTAAACCCAACTCACTCACTCACTCTTGTTGGTCTGCTGCAGACAGAATTATTTATTTCTGGCTGCTGCCTGTTAAATAACAAACAAACTCTTTTTAATCCAACAAATAGCACTGAGAAGTGACTTTCCACAATGCTCATGATGTTTTTTGTGTTGCGATAAGACATGATCGACTCCAACGTTTGCCAGTTGTTCGACTGAGGAACAGAACTGTTAAGATATCTCGCTACATGTAAGTTTTGTCCGCTAGAAGACGAGGGCTAGATGTTCTGGTTGGAGATGTTATAGATGTGATGCAGAAACCGATCTAGGCGGAACGACGACGTTACAGGGAAAGGATTAACTTACTAACATCTCACATTACTTACATCATTAAATTTCTACTAGAAAGATACTACTCAAAAGAAGTTCAGGAACACCCTATTCTTTAAGTTAAAGAATGCCCTATTAAACATATTACTATAACTAATCTGTCATGCCATGACAGATTAGCTATAGTAATATGAAAGAATAGGGTGTTCTTTAACTTCTTTTGAGAAGTATATAATTTGTTTACAATTACCAAAATTTGAACCATTCTGACGTTAGAAAATACTTCTTAACAAAGTGTTGAAATTCTGGTCGAAATGAATTATGACAATCTAACAATTAAAAATTAAGATGTTTTAATATAGATATGACCATGTTATGGTAATACTAACTTTCTAACTGTGTTTACAACAACCAATATAAAGATCATAAATGTTAATTCAAGAATATTGATACAAAAGTATGAGAACTGAACTTAATATTTTTAATATGAAAAATGTTAAAAATACTAATACTATTCACTAAACAGTAATAACATTTTTTTAAACATGTTTTTTTCTGTTAGTTGAAAATTTTGCTCATTTTAATTTTCGTTCCGTGGATTTTTATCAGCATCACAATGAGGTCGGACCAATTTAATTTTTTGTTACACAGATATTCTTGCCCAGAATTCCAAAAGACAAGGGGCAAAATCAAAAGCTGTCACAGCTGATTAGCAGTTAATACCTTTCAGAGGAAAGTCTTGATTTAACATTTAACAAAAATGTAAACATGAAGATTTGCTACAAAAGCAGGTATTTTCATTTAAACACTGTAGCTTATTTGTTTTGGGACTTCTTGAAAATTTTAGAACAGATTTGTCAATAAAACAAGTAAATTGGTCTGACCTAATTATTAGAAATGAAACAAATGAAAGTATGAAGACGAGGAACAAATGTCAATTGTCAAATGTTTGAGTAACTGGCAGAATATCATCCTGTATAATCAGAGAATATATGTCAGTTTATTGTGGATTTATTGATGAAATACTATATTTATATGCCAAAAAAATTGATATTTCACTAGCATGTTATTTTACAAGATACTACTGCAGGAACTACATCTAGAGTGAAATAATACTTAAAGCCGGAACTACTTTCAATCTGCCTCAATGATACAACGATCTGAGACTTAAGACATGGAAGATCAGTGCGAAAATACTTTACAAACAACATTTGGATTGTTTTGTCCAATAGCTTGTAATCTCATCTTGTGACTTGAGAAAAGTTGCCATTTTGACTTTTGGCTGTAGCGTTCATGAAAACAGCAATTTTGTCAGATGGCTCGATGACATAGACATATTATATGAGGTAGGAGAGGTAGGAGAGGTAAATATCTTCTACATCTGTCGTACTGTATGGGTTTTATGAAACAAGCTGATCTCGTTGTGGTCAGTATGATGTTTTAAACCACCTACGCTATCGTACCCTCAGCAAAGCAGAAGAGGATCT